TACATTGCCCCTCAATCTATATTTATACCCTGATCTAAAGAGACATAACCAAATACGACTAGGACACCAAGTCCATATCTAAGGAAACACGTGACTCTTACATGAATCATACTCTAACAAATATAGAAAAGGAAATCAACTCCTATCTATTTCCCTGTCCGCCTCAATTACGATGGAATTCTCATACTTCCTGTTTCATCGGCAGTAGTTTTCAAGCCTTCCTTCATCGGCATCGACACTAACATCTCCAACCTTATCGGCAACGCCCGAGTCTAAATCAACCTTTCCATCGATCACCACCATTCATCGGCAACCATCTTTACAAGCTGATTTTCATCGGCTGTCAGCGTATACAGTAACTTCCCTCCTGCCGATTAGCCCACTCTGATCATTTTGACACGTGCAAAAAACGGTGTCAACAGTACCACTCGCCCTATATGGTGTGGGACGGCCGGACTACTTGGTAGGATATTGCCACTACTGCTAGGTTGATAGCGGACAGTGTGAGTGAGGTACGGGGCGCGGAGGATTTCCCCCACACCCTTCCGAGACTTCATGGAGACCTTGTGGACCCGGCTCATGACTCACAGTTTCAGCCACCCCAGACTAGACTTGGGGTGTACCAGGGCTGAATGGTAGAGTGGCATTATCCTAGGCTAGCAAGCGGCCGGAATCAGCCTAGTTGATGACGGTCAGCGAGGAAGGCGAATCTTGTGGTTATGTAAAACCTCTGCAGAGTGTATGGTTGATCGATCGATACATATGCCGACTTGTCAGCTATGGACCTTTCCTGGGTTTCGCTTAAACTAAATAGTGAGATGAGTCCTTCTCTTCTCTTCTCGGGAGTGAGTGTTCGGACGTAGCCAGGGGCTACGGGCCTTGAGATAGTGCCGAGAGAGAGTTGGCCTGTCGACTGAGCGATGGTGGGGTTGTGGTCTGGTGATGGTGTGGAGATGGTGGAATGTCGATCCCAGGATCGAAACCTGGCTCTGGAATGGGAATGGGGTGGAATGGGTGTGAGAATGGTGTTAAAACTTGACCAACTATCATTATGTACCTGATATGCTAAAACATAGGAAACCCCAGCCTTATAGGTTCCTTTTGATTATATCCAACTTGTATCAAATTTCCACAAAGCAATGCTCATAGGGTGGGAGTGGCCAGTACAAATCGTACTGATAAATTTTGGCACACAGGTTCTGCTGGGGAGTATAGCTCCGAGGAGTTTGACGGTTGAGGGGTTCGTTCCTACGCTCGAGTTTGGCGATCTTATCTTCAAGCTGTTCTGAATGAATGCTACTTTTGATTTTGCCAATGTGGCGATGTAATAATTTATGTAATTTCACACTATTTGTACTCTGATATTATCGTTGTATGGATGTGATATTCGACTAGAATTTGGATAATATGATCTACAACGGTCTTATTACACTTCGACTCTGTGGATTTCCCTTCGCGGAAATCAGGTCGCTTCAGTCACCAACCTGTCGCGGTAGCTGAGCAGGAAGATCTCGGCCAGGGCGCGCTCGTTGTGCTCCCGTGCCTCTAAGTGGTGGTCCTGGTCGTGGCTCGGCTGGTACACCGTGACAACCTCGCCGGCTGCCGTCGCGTTGGTGTAGTACACGCTGTGCAGCTTGTCGTAGTACTCCGGCTTCAGGGAGACCACCAGCACGGCCTTCACCTTGGCCGCCGTGCCGTTGGACGACCGGGCACGAGGTACCTGTAGACGCCGTCCTTGGTGCCGTTGCGGTGCCAGGACCTGAGCCGCGCGGCCGCGGCCCTGTACGCCTCGGTGCCTGGGCCGCACCAGCGCTGCAGCGGCTTGTGCTGGCGCAGCCGCTTGATGAGGCGCGCGGATGGCGACTGCGTCAGAGGATAAAGAAAGGTAGGGGGTTTTCTGCAAATGTACTTTGGATTTAAGGTTAAATAAATGGCATGGACCTGTAGTGAACTATTTTAAAAGTTTATGGACCCAAAAATATAGTTTTAAAGTTGATGGACCTAGATGACACCCCAACCAAAGTTAATGGATCTCTGGTGCATTTTACTCTAAAATATATATGGCAGGAAGATACTAACTACTCAAAATCACCACTTGCTACGAAGCTGATCAAAGTACAGCTCATTCTGCACGGATAGACTTGACAATTCTTAATACGCCACAGTTGCATGGATAGCCTTGACAATTCATAAAATTGGAGGGAAGAACCACAGCCCAGCGACCCAATTCCTGCCCCGCACTCTAGCCGCAGCCACAGGTGCACGTGCTTCGCCACCACCAGGCCCCTCGCGTCGTCCCTGCAGTTCACCATTAGCAGTTCCACGCTGGCATGCTCCTCACGGCGCTGGCACCATGCATAGATAAGTTCAAGAGGAATTCTCATTTGACGCTTAAGAGTTTTTTTGTTTTCGCAGTTGTAGACTTGCAGTATATAAATACGGATACCTCTATTGCTCCTATTGTAACTTCCACTGACAAATTAAGGCCCTGTTTGGTTGGTCTTTTGGCTTTGGCTTTTGGCCCCAAAAGCCAAAAGCCAAAAGCCCAACTAAAGGGGCTGCTTTTGGAGGGTGCTTTTTCAGAAACAGCTGCTTTTCCGTAGTTTATTTTTGAAAGCTGGGTTGACCCTGCTTTTGGCTTTTGGCTTTCTGCTTTTCGAAATTGGTGGAATAAAAAGCTCTTCCATAGTTGTTTCAAGAGAGATAAAGATAAAATATATATTTTATACTTGTTTAACCAAACAGCTTTCAGCTTTTCTACAGCTCACAACCCACAGCAGCTTTTTCACAGCTCACAGCCCACAGCAGCTTTTTCCTACAGCCACAGCTCAACCAAACAGGGCCTAATAGTTTTGAAAACTCAAGGCACAAAAGTTGACAAGAAAAAAAATGTAGAGAGAATAGATAATTTGTACCAAAAAGCATCATTTTCTCTAAGGTAACAAGTTTCCTGTGCTTTAGTCCTGCATCAACAATGATGAAATGATACTAGAATCACGGATTCAACTATTGCAGACAAACATCACACAAATGTAATAGCTACTATCAACAGTTCAATTTCAACGCTATAAGCATATACTATCAGAAGAAAATAGGCAATCCCACAATTACCAGGAAGCACGTCTACTTGATGTACATGCTCTTGAAATTGTCCAGATGAATGCCCCCTGCCAATTCAAAGAAACAGCACGGAAATGTCAGAACAATGGAAAGCAGGCTTCTATCATCACTTCATCAGCAGGTCAATTTCTATGTTTAACAAGGAATCAGCAGCTGACCAAGTTGATACTCTCGAGATTGCAAACAAACCAATATGGCAACCCAAGTACCTCACAGTTAGAAAACTAAATGTTTGAGGTGATCTTGGTATCCAAGTCGTGCTTTGAACCCTTTGACCATCTTCAAAGAAGAAAAAAAAGAATTGATACAATCCAATTTTTATGATTTGACTCCAAAATAAAGCTATATCAATCAGCTCATAGATTAACCTGTATCACAGAAGATAATGTATGCAATCGATGATATAAGCTCATTGTTAGGGATCTTCTCCATTGAATCAGAAAGCACTCTAGCACTTGATGACCAATTCATGTGCATATCCTTAATAAGGGCACACCTCTATTTTACCGTTTGCTGATATGACTCCATTACTTCAGCTCTGCCTTCACACAACTTGAACTCAATGAGGTAAGAAAAAAAATCTAATAAATAATCGAAACAAGTGAATACTAATGTCGGGTTCATAAACCTGGGGTCCCTAATGGGTCTGCTTCCCAGTAAAAAGCTCGGCCCAGCAGACGACGTTGCGGACGACGCGCAACTCCTGGGCCGGCCCAGATACCTAACGACAGGCCGTAAGAGTGATCTAGTCTCCGACCGGAACGCTTCCGACTCCGACCCGCCTCTCCGACCGGGAGGCCTGGCCAAGGAGGGAAGACGCTCGTTTCTGACTCCGACCCGCCTCTCCGACCAGGAGGCCTGGCCAAGGAGGGATGACGCTCGCTTCCGACTCCGACCCATGTCTCCGACCAGAAACACACCAAAACTCTGCCTGCGGCTCTTCTCCGATCGACACGGTCGGAGCCGATTGGGAACAACTGAACGGGGACGCCCGCTCGGTGAGGACCCGATAAATCAGGCGGAGCAGATAAGGTAAGACGCACAAGTCAACCGCAATACCGAGGACTGTACCATGCACACCTGCAGGACAGTACTGTCAGGCCATGTCAGAAGGGTAGTTTGCAACCTTCCAGACATATCAGGACACGAACAGTGTTGTGGGCGCCAACATTTGTCCTATAGTATGGTAGACGCCGACATTTGCCATACCAGAAGAACACGATGGAACCAACTGTAGGCGCCGACAAACCGCCTTGTACCCAACAGCATGGGCAACAAGATTAGGTAGCACACACTCTCTCTTTCACTTGTAAGTCCGTCCCCTTTATCTATAAAAGGGGATGCGCCCTCTCCTAAAAGGGGGATCGATTCGGACAACGAACAACAGACAACAGTCGGATCGTTCCGACGCACTCTCTACTAGCTTTAGACATTCTAAAGCCACACAGAGCACACGTTAGAATACTTAGCGCACGTAGGAGCTCCTGTCACTCTCGGCCCTTCAATCCAGAGTCCAACCGAACCTCTTACACCCCATCTTACTCCCACTCGTTTGTAACCCCACATCAAATTTTGAGCATCTGGGCTCAGGAATAAAGTCATCGACCGACTCAAACTGGACGTAGGGCACGTTGCCTGAACCAGTATAAACCCTGTGTCATTGAGTGCTATGCCACATCCGATCACAACGTACGACAAAACAATAAATATTTACTAGTTGATCACTTTTCGCACCGACAACTAACCTCTTCCAATATCCTGCTTTCTGTCGGTTGATATTCTCAGGGTCCATTGAGTTCCAAAGCTGCAAAGTTGCAAGTGTCGGGACAAAGAAGAGTTAGTAATAACTCAATAGCCAGGTAATCTGTTCCCAATGGAAATCAGCGGTAGTGCACTATTGGCATAATGTGCGAAAACTAAAACAAGAAATATATCACTAAGCCATTAACCACCATTAACATCAGTTGAACACCAAATGTAAATGCAACAAATTTCACTAATATGTGTTTCCTCCCATATCAACCAAAATAATGAACAGTAAGTATTTAGAAATATTATCATTCAGCCTCACTATCAGAAATGTAAAACATCCCCAGACCAAATATTTGGTCTAACATAAAAGGATGGACAAAATGCATGCATTACATCAGATTTCAGATTGTACAAACTGCTAATGGAAGCATTTATATGAGGGCAAGTTAATCAAATTGGATCTAAAAGCCCCGTTCGACTGTCAGAATTTTGGCTGAAACTGGCTGAAAAACACTGTTCTTGCTGAATTGTTGTGAGAGAAAACACTGTTCCGGCTGAAAAAAGAAGCCGAATATGGGGTAAGCCGAACGGAGCCTTATGGGCAAGATGGATAGATGAGAAGAGATGCCTACCTGCGGTCTACGATTAGTAAGTTGTCCTCTGAAATTTGTATCAAATGCCATGGAGTCTACATCGAAATCCTGAATAGTTGGAGCAACTTCTTTTCTCAGACCAAGTTTATCAGTAATCCAGCTCCTGATGCCATTGCTTCTATTGAAGACTGGATAAACTGTTTCTAAAGTCCTTCCTAAATCTGCTTTTCTGACCGCATGATTCTGCAAAAAGAATCAGAAAGTGATAAATCATATAATTCTTCAGTGTAAAAATAGAGTGCAAAAATATTTATCAGACTGGAAATCAAGCTCAGAAACAATGTATTCACAGATGGAAAATTATTAGTTCTTTGCATATAGGGCGGCATGATTTAACTTGAATTGGCATGGCTGATTGGAGCAGCCCTCGGTGAGCCATGGCTGAAAACTTTACCCCAAATTATGTTATTACTTTTGAGACAACAAAACATCAGAACCTTCTCCTTAAACTGAGTATATTTAGTTTAGTTGCTTAGAACTACGGTTTAAAAAGATTACCTAGATGGTCAGGCACACAAAAAAAAAGCTGACCTATATCCTGGGTGCTGGGCTGTGGCCGCATCCCCTATGACATGATTTTCCAAAGATAGACTAATTGTGTTGCTAACAACAATCTGACAGCACGCACGCGTCACAGGATAAGGGGTTAAGCAAGAACCTCTAAAATAAAAAAAAGCAATCTAGGACAAACTTCTGAGTAATACCTTCAGTTTTCACTGAAGAAAGTAGAAAAAATTAGATATATATGGTTCTGTCATTTAGGATGGAGAAGAAAAGGAAACTACATGGTCCAGTTACTTGGTTATCTGAGTCAATCTGCAACAGCAAGGAACAAAATCATCCCATCATCTACCCGGGACTAAAAAAATCCATGAATAATCTTCCAGTATAGTGCTATCTGAACCCTGAATGATTCAAATATGAATACACATATGTGTCAACAAACATACACTCCCTTCCAATTGTCAGCAGATGAATTGTGAAGCTACTGATTGGCCAGGTCGGTGATGGGCGACGGCGGAGTAGATCGGGGATGGGCGGGGCAGTCGCACCGGTCGTGGATTCCGACGGCTGTCCGACCCTATGGCGGCGGCGCTGCCGCTGTAGACGCAGCGGCTGCGGCGCATGCACGGCGGTGCAGTGCCGGGCGAGCGAGAGGGCGCGCGGGCAGGCGTACCGGAGACGCGTATCGCGGGAGTAGCTGGAGGCGGTATCGCGAGAGGATAGGGGTAGCGGGAGGCGTTATCGCGGAGGGAGATATGCATGTCACGGCAGACGGACGACCCCAAGCTTTTGTCGCACACGAAAAAAGTGTCCACATTTTACTCTTTTTAGTTTTTTTTCGGGATCGTGCCACGGCACGTTTTTCATTAAGCAGAAGAGAAAGTTTTGTTATAAAATCAGGATTACGGTAAGTTTTGTCCACCTTTTACTCTTTTTAGTTGTGATGTGAGATGTGAAAAGCACACTACTATTATGTAATAGTGTCAAATTGAAGCCTTTCAAGTAATGCCATTTGCCATCCTGCAAAGATATACTAAGATCATCATACACCTCTTGCCCAAAAGAAAGATGTGAATTTAAAATAATATCAATTAGCTCTGCCTTTTCTCATAATCTGTTTTAGCATTCGTGCCATTACCTGAAGTGTAAAAGCAGTTGTAAATACTGTCATAACCAATGATCCAGTCTCAACAAGGTTCAAGAGTTCAAGTCAAGATCCATAGGGATGCCATTCACCCAGGACACAATTAGAATAACGGGCACCTTGTCATGATAAGCAAACTCCTTATCAGCTGAAATCGAAATTTTGGCATGTACCAGTTAGGATAAAAGGCCATATCATCGGCTAAGTGGCCCAATTTGATTCCCATCTTTTGGAGGAATAGATATATTTTACCTTCTCAGTGAGCATAAATTTTGAAGGAAGTTGAATAAAAAAACTCTGGAACTGTAAATTCGCTAGATTTTGCTAACCAGTTAAGGGCCATTTTGTTTCCTGACAAGATTTGAATTCCTAATCTGATCGGTTGTCCAAGGTTAACCTACTGAACAAGAAGAAAAATTTCTTAATGCTCACCACAAGCAGCAAAATTTGAGTAGCTGAACCAAGAGCAATTCCCAGGGTGATGTCCTACAAGAAATATAATTGTAGGGCTGTTTTACTCAGAAAACTTAAACAACAAAATTCTGTTAGGATACATCCTTACAATTTTGTTCTTAAAAGCAAATATTATAGCGCCTGCATGCTCTGCCGCATTTCCAACAACAGGAAGCAGGATAATGCTAATGAACCGAACTGGGATACCAAGTGCATCTGATACTTCCTGGTAACAAAAAATAGTGAAGCAGAAATAAAGCGGAAACAACTTAACAATGTTGATGTATATACCTCAATTGTAGTGATAATATAATTAGAAAGCACAGCAATGACTACAGTCATCCCAATCAACCAGATCACTGTACTGGCAGATCCTATAACTGAATTGTTTGTAACTTCATCGTCACTGTTGCTGCTGCTGCTCTGTGAACTTTCCTGCAATTCAATTTTTGGACAAATCAGTAAACTGTGAGATGATGAGCCAATAGAATAATACCACTTCTTTCAAAATGGCAGAAAACTTCATCGATATTCGCCATATTCAAAACTTCAGAAAGTTTATGACCTATGTACCTATCTTATTTGCAATTTAACAAATCACCCTCATAACTAGAAAATTATCTCTTACTAACAAGAAAAGTTAGCGTGACCAATCATGCTAAAATCAGAGAGGAGATCATTGCTAGTAAATGACTGTCAAATCTGAGTCAAAATCATGACTACATAGTGCATATGAATTTCTAAAGTTCATTTGAGAATTCAAAACTTTACTGTAAATTTACTTTTGCCTATACTACAATATAAAATCAAGTTGTTCATAGTGCTAACTACAGCATATTGAAATTGTAGTTATTTAAAGAAATTGACCACTGGTCTCCGCGTTCTTTGACACCACTCCCAGCATCCTTAGTAAAGAAAGCATTATACCTCTTGCACAAAAAATTGACGATGAGTTTTTAGCTGGAAGACGAGACCTCCAAAGTAGGCAATGAGCATTACGATTGCACATAATCTTGATAACTCCAGAACTGAGCCTGTGCTATCTCCAGTGCTTGTTGTGTACTTGGACAATAGAGGTAAGATGTGGCAGAGCACACCCAGCATCAGGAGGCCTACGCTTACATCTGCTTGTCTCTGTTAATGACCATAGAAGATATTTGCATGTGTTATTTTTCTAAAACTGTATTTCGAAGTTCTACTGGTAATACAATGGTACTGTTTAATTGCATCCGTACCCTGTCCAGAGGACGCTCCTTGCCTGTATTAGCAAGGCCACCACAAAGGAGCGATGAACCAAGGACTAGGAGCAAATTAGATAATATGGAACCTAAAAGAGACCACTTTAGGATTTCCATCTTCTCTTTGTGCAGGGCAAACAGTGCAATAATTAGTTCTGGTACATTCCCACAAGTTGCGTTCAGAAGCCCACCAGCTGTAATCAAAATTGTTCCAATTCACGTAGAAGTGCCAAGTTTAAAAAAAGATGGTAAAATGCAGTATTGAGAAGAAGCAAATGCTTGAACATAAGAATTCTGGGATTTCTAAACCAGTTGTAAATAAACTATAGCCGTAACTTGTTTCATGCTTCCAAAGAGTAGTCGAATGTGTTCCATTTATTTTTGAAATCACTACCTGTCACTGTCAGTTCGCATTTTTACGCTAAAAAAATTCAAAACAACGAACAAATACTGAAGATGCACAACTCAGTATGGACATCAGGTGTTATTGGGGCACGTTGTTAAAGCTTATGAAGGTATGCTGTGGCAGTTGCTATCCTATTGAGCATGCTACTTTAAGAGTCATTCAGTTTTGAGCAGTCAATATCTTAGCAGCGGAAATGTCATTTTATTAACTCCGCCTATGTTGTCTCAACATAGCAGGTCCCAAGCCCTGGTAAAGGAGGAGGGTTGTGATAGGCGTGGCGAGCCAACATTAAATCTAGCCATTCTAATGGAGATGAAACCCGAAACAAAACCGTTGGGGCGTAACCCTCTTAGCGACGCGCCATATCAGAACCCGGGTATGGTGTTAAATGAGCAAGGGCCGGGTCGTCACCCCTGTGACGCGCCGTGTCGCGATCTGGGCACGGTGTCAAGTGAGCAAGGATCGGGTCGTCGCATCCTTAGTGGCGCGCTACATCGGCGCCCGGGTGTAGTGAAAAATGAGCAAGGGTCTTCACATCTTCACATCTGAGTCGACGGGTGCGAAGGGTAAAGAAGCTAGTCGAACCAACTAGGATCCGTTTAGTTAGTTGGAATGTAGGGTCGCTTACAGGTAAGTTAAGAGAATTAGTTGATACCGCGACTAGGAGGCGTGTAAATATATTATGCGTTCAAGAGACTAAATGGAAGAGTCAGAAGACGAAGGAGGTGGACAATACAGATTCCCAAGCTTTGGTACACAGGGACAGTGCGAATAGAAATGGAGTAGGAGTTTTGATTGATAAGAGCCTCAAGAATAGTGTGGTGGGAGTGAGAAGGCAAGGAGATAGGATTATCTTAGTCAAGCTTGTCATTAGCTTGTCATTGGTGATATAGTCTTGAACGTAATTAGTGCGTATGCCCTCCAAGTAGGCCTCGACGAGAGTGCTAAGAGACAGTTCTGAGATGACTTAGATGGCCTGATTAGAGCTGTACCTAGTAGTGAGAAGCTTTTTATAGGAGGAGATTTTAATGGGCATGTAGGTACTACAAGCGCAGGTTTCGAGGCAGTTCATGGAGGTTTTGGGTATGGTAGTAGGAATCAGGAGGGGGAGGAAGTTCTGGACTTCGCGGTAGCTTTTGATCTGATGATAGCCAACACTTTCTTTAGAAAGAGATAATCTCATCTAGTGACCTTCAGCAGCGGACAACACTCGAGCCAGATTGACTTTGTCCTCATAAGAAGAAAGGACAAACGAGCATGCTTGGGTTGCAAGGTGATACCAGAGGAGTGTGTTGTTTCTCAACATAAGCTTTTGGTGGTAGACTTTCGTTTTCAGGTGCGTGCCCGTAGGGATAAACAAGCTAAGATTGAAAGAACAAAGTGGTGGAAACTGAAAGGGGAGACGTCAGAGGTATTCAGGGAAAGAGTTATCAAAGAGGGCTATTGGAAGGAAGAAGAGGACATAAACAACATGTGGGAGAAGATGGCAACCAACATTCGGAAGGTGGCCTCAGAGATGTGTGGAGTAGCCAAAGGAAATGGAGACGAGACTAAAGATACTTGGTGGTAAAACGAGGAAGTCCAAAGGGCTATTAAGGAGAAGAAAGAATGCTATAGACGCTTGTACCATGACAGGAGTGTGGACAACATAGAGAAGTATAAGGTGGCAAAGAAGACTGCAAAGCGAGCTGTAAGTGAGGCAAAGGGTAAAGCGTACGAGGATCTTTACCAACGTTTGAGTACGAAGGAAGGAGAGAAGGATATTTATAGTATGGCTATGGTTCGTGAGAGAAAGACAAGGGACTTCAACCAAGTTAAGTGCATTAAGGATGAAAGGGAGCATCTCTTGGTGAAGGAGGATGAGATCCGACATCGATGACAAGAGTATTTTGATAAATTGTTCAATGATGAGAATACGAACATAACCTTTCAGTTGGATGACTCTTTTGATGACACCAATAGGCGCTTTGTACGGAGAATCCAAGAATCTGAGGTCAGAGATGCGTTGAAAAGGATAAAAGGAGGTAAGATGATGGGACCGGATGGTAGCCCAATCGAGGTGTGGAGATGCCTCGGGGACATAGCTATAGTATGGCTAACCAAGCTGTTCAACCATATTTTTTGATCGAACGCGATGCCTGATGAGTGGGGAAGAAGTATATTGGTATTGATCTACAAGAATAAAGGGGATATTCAAAGTTGTACTAATTACCGGAGAATTAAGTTGATGAGCCATACTATAAAGCTATGGGAGAGAGTTATCGAGCATCGCTTGAGAGTAATAACGCGGGTCTCTATGAACCAATTTAGTTTCATGCCCGGAAGGTCAACCATGGAAGCTATTTTCTTAATAAGACAAGTTATGGAGCGGTATAGGGAGAAGAAGAAGGACCTACACATGGTTTTTATTGACTTGGAAAAGGCTTATGATAAAATACCAAGAAATGTTATGTGGTGGGCTTTGGACAAACATAAAGTTCCAACGAAGTACGTGGGGCTCATTAAGGACATGTACAACAATGTTGTGACTAGAGTTAGAACAAGTGATGGAGACACGGATGACTTTCCGATTAGGATAGGACTAAATCAAGGGTCAGCTTTGAGCCCTTATTTGTTTGTCTTAGTGATGGATAAGGTCACAAGGGACATACAAGGGGACATCCCTTGGTGTATGATTTTCGCGGACGATGTAGTGCTAGTTGATGAAAGCCAGACATGAGTGAATCAGAAACTGGAGTTATGACGAGAGACTTTGGAGTCCAAAGGTTTTAAACTCAGTAGAACTAAAATTGAGTATATGAGATGTGACTTCAGCACTACTACTCGGGAGGAGGAAGATATTAGTTTGGAAGGTCAAGTAGTGCCTAGGAAGGATACCTTTCGATATTTAGGATCAATGCTACAGAGAGACGGGGATATTGATGAAGATGTTAGCCATAGAATCAAAGCAGGGTGGATGAAGTTGCGGCAAACATCTGGTGTCCTATGTGACAAAAAGGGTACCACAGAAGGTAAAAGGCAAGTTTTATAGGACGACGATTAGACCTGCTATGTTGTATGGTGCAGAATGTTGGCCTACGAAAAGACGACATGTTCAACAGATAAGTGTCGAGGAAATACGTATGTTGCGTTGGATTTGCGGTCATACAAGAAGGGATCGAGTTCGGAACGATGATATACGTGATAGATTAGGGGTAGCACCGATTGAAGAAAAGCTTGTCCAACACCAGTTGAGATGGTTTGGATATGTCCAACGGAGACCTCCAGAGGCACCGGTGCGCAGTGGAATCCTAAGCCAGGATAGGAACGTGAAGAGAGGCAGAGAAAGACCGAAGTTGACTTGGGTAGAGGCAATAAAAGAAGACTTGAAAGGATGGAATATACACAAAGACTTAGCCTTAGATAGGAGTGCTTGGAAGACAACTATTCACGTGCCTGAACCTTGATTGCTTCTGCTGGGTTTCAACTCTAGCCTACCCCAATTTATTTGGGACTTAAAGGCTTTGTTGTTATTGTTGTTGTTGGAAATGTCATTTTATTATTATCCCTGGTGTTTTCATAGTTCAAAGCCATGCTAGGGAGTGAAAATGCAGTAATAAAGAACCTAGCCACACATTTCTTCTATCCTTTTTTCAGTCACTAGCAATGCAGTCAATACACAGAAAGGAAGCCCAATTTTATTTTATCAGGGGAAAAAGGTAATTTTCTACTAAACATCGTAATGTAGTTTCTCTCAACTCATGTTCTATCTAACATATGTGTACAAGAATATTTTAGTTGAAGCTTTTGTTTTTCATAGTGTGTTAATCCACACAAATTTCCTTCATATAACAAAGAGAGACATCATATAAAGATTACAGTAGTTACCTGTTGGTCCTGCTGTATCGGAAATATGCCTGTAGAAACAGACATCAGGCCGAAGATCAGAAACCTAGCAGTCAACTGTCAATTCATGAAAAAAGAATACAGAAACACAAAAGGAGTTGAGTGATTACTCGCTTAGGAAGCTCACACGTTCTGCGAGGGGAGCAAGGCCTATCAAGCTGAAAACGAACACCCATGCCTGCTAACACAATGTGTCACTACCTGGCCACAAAGCCAAGAACATTCAACAAGTTGAAGGGAAATATTAAGTGAAAATAAAATAACCAGGGATTCAACTATGCTATCAGCGTTTGTCATCTCCACTGCACGCGAAGTGAGGAAAACAAATTCAAAGCATGTCACTGATCCAGCGTTGGTATTAGGCTTCAGCCTTCAGGAGAGCATGTGGTTACAGCTGCACCCAAGGCAAGAACTCAACAACCAGAGGGAGAGCGTCGTAGGATTCCCTTGCCGGCAGACCAGCAGTTTCTCTCCACCCTAGCTGATTTTTATTCCAACAAGAGCAGAAGCACACGGCAGAACAAAACAGACTTTATTTTTGTTGTTGATTGGAATGTGCACATTTTTTCCCACAGTAATTGCATAGGACGAGCTATGCTTCCCTCTCAGCTTTTCAATTCTGATCTCAAAAGTCAAAACTACTAAAATCCTAGCAGAATTAATTTACCATGCAAACAGGTCAGCTCAATAGGCCATACCCAAAACACGCACGAAACTATGCCTTCTGCAGTAGTAAGTGCAATTGAAATATATGTTAAAGTGCCACCACAGTTTTTGGAAGGCAAACAGGGGCGGTGTACCCTTAAGGCTGAAGCTGATTATGGAAGGTAACATATAACATACTTGCCGGTAAAACGAGACAAAAACATCTAAAACATGAATACTGGTGAATCATATATATAACACATAAATGTGTTATCGAGTTCAAGCATCCCATGCCACATAAATTTCTGACAGGAAACCTAGTTTTCACCTTCAAGCGTCGTTTTTTTGAAATTGATATAGAAAGTCGATTACATAGTTAACCTACGATATAGAAAGTATTACATAGTTAACCTACATCGACTAGCATACAGTGCCCCAACCACACTGATTACACTCAGAAAGTTTTTCTCAACAATCCCTTGAATTCAAGCTGGCAGAAATGGCCTCAGTTAAATGATGGCAACAACAACTTCCAAAGGAGCAAAGCCTTTCTGGCAACATCAACTTCATATGCCTCCCAAGTAAATGACTAAGGAACAGAATCAGTGGTTGCCCTCTGATGGCAGAGCATAGGAGAATGCAGGCTGTGGAGCAGTTGGTGGAGCTGGAGGAGCACCAGAAGTCGGACCTGCAGGTGCTGGTGGATTCGCTTGGTAAATGGGTGGAGGTGCTGCACTGTTAGGAATGGGGGCACCTGGGACTCCAGATGTTGGAGGCGGTAGTGTTGGAGGCCTTGGGAGTGGGGCCATCTGCATCGGCATAGAACCAGGTGGAGCGCCCGGTTGTGGCATGGAGCCAGGTGGGGCGCCTGGTTGTGGCATGGAGCCAGGTGGGGCGCCTGGTTGCAGCATGGTTGGTGGAGCACCAGGATAACCTGACATATTTGAAAAAAAAACAGTAACACAAAGTAGTCATTGTTTGGTTTGAATAAGTGACATGTATCAGGATATCAATGTTTTTTATGAAAAATGTAAAGGACACTCTTCCAAAGGCCATAGGCCAACTTATCAGCTGTGCGAAGTCAGCACAACATTAAGCAACTACCTCCATCCACAAATATAAGCATTTCTAGGAATTTTAGAACATTAAGGAGGAAGCAAAATGACTGGTAACCTTTAATCAATCGCTAAGATTACTGAGATGCAGTGCCTTTACAGAGATGCCAGAAACAGAAGGCTCCAGTTAAAATTTTAAATACCAGCATCACGTTGATGCAAACAAATATTTTTTTAGTTATGAGGGAGTGATAAGGTTGATTACACAGGAAATGCTTACATCTGTAGACAAATTTTGAATGGTAGAAGTAGTAAATAAGGATGAGGGAGAGGGAGGGTTGATTTACAACTAGTAAACAAGGATGCTTATAACACTTGTCAATATGATCTATAACTTACAAATTTATCTTCATAATTACAGACACAGTCTATTTATCAACTAATAGAAAAATAGTACCATGGTTTGAGATAAACGTGAAAACAAAAAATATCAGAGTACTCTAATTTAAGCATTTTAGGTCTCCAATTCTCCACTCATCACAAACCACATGATTAATTGCTTTAGTAAAGGTAAAAAACTGGGGGAGTTTTTGAGAATATTTACATCTTGTCCAAAAAAATCTGTTCCGTTCCCCAGAAAAAAAATATCAGTACAGAACAGTTTGCACATATTTGTTTCCTTGCAGAAAATGAAGACCAGTTTCTTCTGGATTGGAACTGTGCAAAGGGTTTAGAGATCGTTTAAAGTCACTAGTAACTACAAACCAGGATGTACCCAAAACAAATAAATCCATGAAATTTCATGGTACAAAATAAACCAGACCTAATTAACCGACATATGGTAGGTAACGAGCGTACCAATGCCCTATTAAGCAACATGAAAATAATTAATGTACTGTGCAGATACATGCAGAAGAACCTGAATTGGGCTATTAACAAACAAACAAATAAGTAGCAGTCTTTGCAGAACATTCAACTTTTGATGTTTGTTCTGCTAAGGTTGGAGGCAGGGGTAAATGTAGTTATTTCATCTTCAATGAAGAAAGCAATATAGAATTAATGGGAAGAGGCATAAATTATGGGTTATAGACTTGTACACATAGTAGCCATCATAATAGATGCTAGCAATCATGATGAACGATACAAACAGCAGCCCTGTTTACCTGGAACACCTGGAGCTGGTAAAATCGGGGGCCTAACTCCTGGCATCAATGGTGCTTGAGGGAATCCATGATGCATTCCAGGGGTTGGCAGAATTGGAAGACGAGGGCGAGCTACAGCTCCTGGGAATGCGAGCATATGTTGGTTGAAAGGGGCACCTGCCTGGAAAGCTGCAGCTTGTCCAAGATGCTCCTTGATTCTTTGATCAATTAAACTTTGAGTTTGCTGCTCCTCAAATTGCTGATAGTAGGTTCGAACATTAGCCTAGAATATTTCAAATAAGGTTCAGCAACATTTTATTATAGATGAATAGGCACGAAAAACAAATTGGGGCTATGGAGACTATACAAAGAATAAAATAAATACCTTGTGTTTGTATCCAGCATTGTGTTGCTTCCGGACAGATGGCTGCAACATTTTTTACAAAGTAGTCAACTCATGTTTCAAAAATAAGACAAGAAAATAAAAACAGAGTACATGGTAGCAAAGAGCAAACACCATTCTTGGATTTATACAGTTTGCAGAAGCAACTATGTTGAAATCACTTGTGTATGTAATACACTAATACATGAAAGTCCAAAAGGGAGAACACCTATTTCAATTCAGGAAGACAAGAGAACTGTAGTTTGTGAATATCTCATACATTATGCAAGCCTGAATATGCAGCTACCTAGTGCACGGCTACATAAAGGATGGAGCACTGAAGTCTATATCGAGCATCAATAATTTCAAGGACCACACAATGTCACAAAATATTCTTAGGGAGTTGGAAACAAAATTGAATTGAGCCACTTAGATGAACAAACATGAACAAGTGGCATAAAAAACTCTTATTTCGCTTATGTTCATTAAAGCTTATACTTGGCAGCAACACAAATTATGCATAGACTAGATTACTGCATGCAATCCTAAGGAAACCTACAAAGAAATGATGAGCCTGTTACATGTCTCTAGCCTTAGAAAATTGAAGCAGAACAAGACACTAACCGAGTCATGGGTCAGGTAGGTGTCGCAGTAGTCACAGTAATACCTGCACGATAAGAACAAGACAGAAGTCAGAACACGAGCTAAGACATAAATCGAAAGGAACACAACAACGCAGCACAGACAGAGGCAGGTAGTATCATCTAACAAAGACCCCAATCCCACCGCATCGTGGAATCGACAAGCGAGATCTTGGCGCAAATCATGGGACGCCAGTGCTAGGGTTTCAAATCCAACGCCTATCACCCCCCACCCCAGTACCCCACAACCGCACCCCTGCTGATGGACATATGGGCGCAAGTTTAGTAGCCAATACGAAGAAACACTCACCGAGGCATCGCAGCGGCGGCGGAGGACGGCAGCGGACTCGGTCGAGAACGGAGTCGGAGGCTCGGAGCAAGAGCACCGGACTCTGCTTTACGAGCCCTTCGAGAGTTCCAGGACCCTTAAAGAGCTGGGCCGGTCAATGGCATGTAGGCCCATCCGAGTCGGGCTCGATGATGGCCCATAAGCTGAGTTCCGGAAAGGCAGGCCCGCAAGCCCTTGTGGCCGCACTGGCTATCTGGAGTTCTGGACCATTCCCTTGCTCTGCAGCACGATTCTTGGAGTATTTTTCTCTCTCCCAAACAAATCCGCCGCCGCCGCCCATGGTGGCCTCGTGACCGCGCCGGCGTCGCCCCGGCCTCTGACGCCCCCGGTCGCCGGCCCCGGCTCCGGCGACCTCGTACGCCGGCAGGCCTTCGCCGCCCCCGCCGCCCATGGCCTCGTGACCCCCGACACCTGCAGCTCCGGCACTGGCCGGCGGCCCCGGACTCCGCCGCCCTCGGCTGCGGCCACCACGTCGGCTCCTGCATCCCCCGCAGACTCCTGTTCTCGCGCGAATCTTGATGCCCTTTCCATGGCCAGGATAGGCCTGGTGGCCACACATACATGTGGAAAATCCACTCTCGCTTAGTCCTGACGCTTCCAAGTTCCAACCACGACGCCCACCGGCCACCGCCCAGTGTACTGTGTCTGCGTAGCGAGTGGCTGCTTACGACTTCGCCCTCCTCAAGGCGCAGCGCAGCCGCCGCTGGCTGCCAGAGATGGCTCGTCGCGGTGTACAGCTCCTGGTGGCACGGGGGATCTCCTCGTCGCCGAGCCTTTCTCGAAGGATCAAGCAAACAGGTGAGGCGCGTCTTTCTTGTTTCACTTATTTCGGTTTCCTAGCTCGCTTTCGAGAAATTTCGGGCAGTGTCAATACCCTGGCTATCAGTGTAGTGTATGGGTGTGCTTAGCACGTTTTTGGATTTCGCATGAAGTTTTAATGAGAACTATATTGATCTAAGTAAGGTCGGATTTATAGAGACCAGACAAAATCGGAAGCAGTGTGGTGGTAGTGGGGCTATGAAGTTGGGATGGATGTAGATTTGCGTTGTAAAACATGCTTTCAACTACCTGGTGTATCCAAAAGTAAAAAAACGATGGATTCTTTTGATATGTCACCAGAATGCAGAACAGACATTAGTGAGGTGTCGCGATGTACTGTATATGCAGCAAAAATTGTATTGCAGTTTGTTTTATTTGGGTTCTGTTAGAGTTTGTGGGAATTCACAACCTCAGCTTTGTATAATTGCAAAAGGGAAGATATTACATAAGTCAGATTTGATGAATTGCTGACACATAATATGTCTGTTGATATTTAGTAATGTAATGTGAAATTTGCTATGTTTTGTATGAGTAAATTAATTCCTATGTTCAATCAGTACCAGAAACCAAGTAGAATGAATTTCCTACAAACATAGTTCACAAGTTGTCCTTCCAGATTAGAAGCTGAAGCGAGTCTTGATTTGACGTGCGTTTTGTTAGTTTTTAGTTCTAAGCAATAACAAAAAAGCTTTTCTAATGATGACTGAAATACCATGTTTTTTCTTACTATCTTTTCCCCTTTCCTTGACCACTCTTGATTTTTTGGCTTTCAGAAAGTGAGATTGTTCGGATGTTTCATCCTCCAGTTCGTCAGAGTGAGGAAGCAATAGCAACCATTGTGCCAAGATACACGCATTCTGTGCGTGTCTTGGATGAGAGGTTCATTAGGATCCTGAAGATATTCAAGTGGGGCCCTGATGCTGAGAAGGCACTGGAGGTTCTCATGCTTAGAGTTGATCACTGGTTGGTACGGGAGGTTATGAAAACTGACATTGGGGTCAACGTGAAGATGCAGTTCTTCAGATGGGCTGCAAAGCGGAGGAATTATGAGCATGACACATCCACTTACATGGCATTGATACGTTGTTTGGAAGTAGTGGAGCAGTATGGTGAGGATGTGGAAGATGATCCAAGAAATGCTACGGAACCCCATTTGCGTTGTCACCCCAACAGAGCTTTCAGAGGTAGTTCAGATGCTGGGGAATGCTAAGATGGTCAACATGGCATTGATACGTCGTGGCAAACAATTTGTTTTGTATATTTCTGTTTGACAATTTCTTGCCAAATTCCACCTTCAGTTTCTTACTTCCACCACCATTTACACAACAAGGTGATATTCATTCTTCTCAGATCATGCACACCCAGACCACCTTTTCTTTTTAGGTCTGATTATCTTGGCCCATTTAACCAAGTGCTATTTCTAAATTATTTTCCCCCTTGAAGAAAAATATTTTACTTGTTTTATCCATTCTTTTAATGATGGTTTTGGCCTTTTAGGAAGTAAATGCATGCAAATAGGATAGGTTGGCAAACTGCTCATACTGGAGTTGAGCGAAATTGATCTACCACCCCCGATGGTTAAGGCACCCATCTAGTTTTTCGTCATCTTTTCACAATAATTTAAGTATTGGGTTTACCTTTTTGCCTTGGTGCCAAACTAAGTTTGTGGGCTTAGGTCGTGGTCGGGCTCATTTGTAATAGGCGCGTGTTGGTTTTGAATGACCTGGTGTGGGTGGGTGGTGTGTGTTTGTAAGGGCTCTTCCCCTTTTTTCATCTTAGTATAATGATGCGTAACTCTCCTGTGTGTTCGAAAAAAAGTATTGTGTTCAGTACCTTTGTTTCTGTTAGTCGCTGAATTCTCACTCGTGGTAGTAGGAGAATTCTTACTCTCATCGAGAGAGGATGACACTAGGAGTTGGGGCAATTTTCTTGTCCATTTCTCACACAAACTCACACAAATGTCATGCTAACCTTGATGGATAAGTCTCATGTGTGGTATTTGTGGGGCTGTACTGCTCACATGGTCCTTGTGGCTGTTTTTCTGCTTTTAGGACAGCATCTTAGACTAGAGGACAGCAGGACAGCATCTTAGAGGACAGCATCTTAGACTAGAGGACAGCATCTTAGCTAGGACAGCATATTAGCATCTTAGACTAGCATCTTAGACTAACATCTTGGCATATGCTTGGCTGGCTAGCAGCCTATAAATATGTAACCCTAACCCCTCAGGTTGGCATGGCATTTGAGTAAGAAATAGACAAGAAAATTGCCCCAACTCCTAGTGTCATCCTCTCTCGATGAGAGTAAGAATTCTCCTACTACCAAGAGTGAGAATTCAGCGACTAACAAGTGGTATCAGAGCCGTATTATCCTCAGTAGCTTTGAGCATCTCTCGCTCATCTCCTCTCCTGACCATTATGACCCCTAGCTCATGAAAGCGGCAGCTCCGGCCGCTCTGCTTCACTCCCCATGCAGACAAGCGGCTCGTCAAGCAGCCCTCTCTCACGCGCAGCCAGCCCCCAGTGGCGCGTCATGTCCATGAGGCGATCTCGGCCGCTTCAGTCGCCTCGAGCCGCTGGCGTCGGCAGAGAGGTCGAACTTGCTGCTGCAGAGAACGCGAGTGAGCGGCGGCAGCAGAGCGGCCAAGTGGCAGTGGCAGCGAGGCGTCGGTAAATGGGTGAGCCGGCTGGCAGCGAGCAGGCGAGGGCGAAGCAATGGCGGCGGCAAATGCAGCGCAAGCTGGCGGCGGAGGTCGAGGCTTCTGCTTGCGGCAAAGATCGGCAGCTCCATTTCGGCCGATAACACCGCCGACGCGGACCTCGAGCTGCTAGAGAGGAGGAGGCTTGGCGAAGCTTGGCGGCGATGAGCGGGCGCCACAAGCGCCACAAAGCGTGGCGGCAGCCAGACAGCGCGACGCTACCTGGCGGCGCCTCTGGAGGAGGCGCGCGCGACGGCGGTGGCGCTCTGGGGGCGCGCGACGCCACGAGCGCGGCGGCGGCGAACGGCGCGGACGCGCGGTGGCGCTCTGGAGAAAGCGCACGGCGGCGGCGCTCTGGAGGAGCGCGCGACGGCAATGGTGGCGGACGGGTCGATGGAGAGCGCGGCCTTCCACAGCGGCGTGGCTCTCTCCCGGATCGGTACCGACGGGTCGATGGAGAGCGTGGCCTTCACAGACGGCGTGGCTCTCTCCCGGATCGGTACCGTGGTTACCACGGGCTCCAGTCGTTGTCGGGACGTCGGTCCGGCGTTGGGTGGCCTACCTCACCACCATGACCAACTACGCCGAGTGGGGCTGCGGTGATGAGGGTAAAGCTCAGTGCGGCACATGTGGGAGGCGATCCGATGACGGCGACGTCGACCACGACCTAGATCGACGGCGCTGGATGCGCTCATCGCCGCGAGCCCCGCCGAGATGCGATTCTCGCTTACTAGCAAGCGGATCGCCAAGGAGGCTTTGGGACGCCATCATTGCGGCGCGCGACGGCAATGACCAGCGCGCGCAGAAGTCCACACCGCAGCGCCGCAAGGAGTGGGAGAACTCGCCTTCAAGCCGGTGAGGGCGTTGATGACTTTGCTCTCCGTCTCAACACTGCTGCGAAGATGGTGCGATTCGGCGGCGACACTTTACGCGAGGAGAGAGGCGCCGAAAAAGCTCTTCCGCTGCGTCCCGAGAAAGTACAGCAGATGGCTCGCGCCGATCGAGTCTCTGCTGGATCTCTCCACGATGTCGATCGAGGAGGCGATAGGTCGCCTCAAGGTCGTCGGCACAGCGATGAGCCACGATTCCTCTCGGGGCCCATCACCTGCTGGCGGAAGCTCCTTCTCACTCGGGGAGCGGTGGCTTGCCGGCCTGTGGTGACCGAGAAGAAGGGAGCCTTCTTCCATGACAGCGACGCCGCAAGCGTGGCAAGGCGCTTGAGACGCCAGTCGGGCGCGAGGACGCGTCTGAGGGTGATGCCCGTGAGGCGCTTAGGCGGCGCCGCCCGGCGAGCACAAGCCAAGACGAGAGGCGACACACCGCCAGAATCGCGCCGGCTTGGCCATTGGGCCAAGGATCGTCGGATACCACGACGCTGCCAGCCCACGTCGACAAAGCGGAGGAGGAGGAACCGACTGTTCATGGCACATGCCAGCATCGAGCTACCTCCAGTGGCACCGGCCGCAGCGGTTCTCCTCCACCTTGACGAGCCAAAAGCACATGCCCTCCTCGGCGACGGCTCCGCAAGCGACAAAGATCGACGGGTGGTGCTCGACACCGGCGCCACCCATCACATGACCGGTCGACGGAGTTCTTCACCGAGCTTGACTCTAGCGTCCCCGAGGCTCCGTCAAGTTTGGGGATGCCTCGGCGTGGAGATCAAGGGCGTCGGCTCCGTCATCTTCACCGCCATGTCACGGTGAGCACAGTCGCTCACCGAGTCTACTACATCCCCGCGTTGAGGAACTCCATCATCGACTTGGGACAATTTGGATGAGAATGGTTCGCGCGTGGTGGTTGAGGATGGAGTCATGAGGATTTGGGATCGCCGTCGCCGCCTTCTTGCCAAGGTATCCAGAAGCGCAAATCGACTCTACATCCTTAACGTGCAGGTGGCACAACCCCTCTGTCTCGCCGCTTCGTCGGGATGACGAGGCGTGGCAAAGGGCACGCAGCGCCGGGCACCTTCGCCGAGGCCACAGGCGGCTCGATTGCCACGGAGATGGTGCGAGGCCCGCCCGTGCCTCGACCATGTGGAGCAGCTCTGCGACGTCTGCGTGTTGACGAAGCAGAGGCGACTCCCCTTTCCACAGCGGGCTAGCTTTCGAGCCAAGGAGAGGCTCGAGCTTGTGCACGGGGACTTGTGTGGCCCGGTGACACCGCCACACCGGGACGACGGCACGCTACTTCCTGCCGCTCCCGTCGGGTGACCTCTCCCGCTACATGTGGGTGATGGTCCTCGGCGGCAAGGGAGAGGTCGGGACGCGCCATCAGCGCCAGTAGTGACCAAGGCGGCGGGAGGTGAGTCGCGGCGCAAGTTTGCGCGTCTTGACGACAACCGACAACAATGGCGCGGCATGGCGGATGAATTCGCGTCGTCTTCATCACATTGACGAGGCATTGGCGCCACTACTCCGCGCCGCTGTACCAGCCAGAACGAGCAGGCGTCGTCGAGCGGGCGCAACAAGCGGTTGTGGGGATGGCTCGGGCCCTCCTCAAGCGAGGGGATGCCGGTGCTCTTCTTGGGAGAGGCGGTGGTGACGGCCGTCAACATCCTCAACCGCTTCGCCTACCAAAGGCGCTCGGCAGGCGGGACGCCGCCGTCTGAGGCTTGGCATGGGCGCAAGCCGGCGGTCTCCACTGCGGGTCTTGGCGCCTCGCGTTCGCCAAGGAGCTTGGCCACATCGGCAAGCTCGGCGGCAGGGAGCACTCGAGTGAGGAGTGTTCGCCGGCTACGCGGAGGGCTCGAAGGCCTGCCCCGCATCCTCGACCGAAGACATGGCGACGTGGCGTGCGCGCGCGCGGAGGCGTTGTGTTGACGACTTGGTGATCAAAGCGAGGATGGGCGTGGGACAAGCGGTGGGACGACGGCTCGGCTCCAACGTCACGGCGACTTCACGTCGTCACGTCCGCCGCCGGGAGGGGGACGAGTAGGCGGCTCTTCTTTGGGGAGCGCGTCTACCCCGATCCCCGAGCCTCCGGCGACCGGCGCTGCTACTCCAGCGACTCAGGATGAGCACCACGCTCCCGGCAAGGAGGCAAGGTGCTCACGCTGCGCAAAGAGCCCTCTCATGGCTGCGGCGACGCAAAGCGTGGAATGCCAAGTTGGATTCCACGCTAAAGGGGATGGGCTTGAGCCTCTACCCGCGGCGCCATCTACCGGCAGGCGATGGAGGAAGCGCGACACTCTGCTGGTGGGTGATCTCGTCGGCGACTTGGTGATCACCGGCACCAAGGATGCGGAGGTGGCGGCATTCAAGGAAGAGATGAAGGCCACCTTCCGGATGAGTGACACAGGGCCTCTCTGGAGCTCACAGGCATCGAGGTGCACGGAATGACTCGGGATCACACTTGACGGACCACTTCCCGAGGTCGTTTGGAGGAAGGGAGCGTCGTTGAGCTAGATGGGCTCACCTGCGGCGCCTTGAGCCCCCTCTCACTCTTGAGCCTCGGATGGAGGATGGTTCAACTCTCCCACAAGAGCAGCGACAAGACTTAGGGGGAAAATGATGGGCCTTCTAGCGATGTGTGGTCGTCTTGATCTTGCTCACATGGTCCTTGTGGCTGTTTTTCCGCTTTTAGGACAAAGATCTTAGACTAGAGGATTCTCCGTCGGCTTAGAGGACAAGATCTTAGACTGAGAGGACAGATCTTAGCTAGGACAAGATATTAGCATCTTAGACTAGCATCTTGAGATATGCTTCATCGGCTAGCAGTCTCTATAAATATGTAACCCCAACCCTCAAAGTTGGCATGGCATTTGAGTAAGAAATAGACAAGAAAATTGCCCCAACTCCTAGTGTCATCCTCTCTCGATGAGAGTAAGAATTCTCCTACTACCAAGAGTGAGAATTCAACGACTAACAAACCTGAGGGGTTGGGGATACATATTTATAGGCTGCTAGCCAGCCAAGCATATGCCAAGATGTTAGTCTAAGATGCTAGTCTAATATGCTAATATGATGTCCTCTAAGATGTTGTCCTAAGATGCTAGTCCTAGATGTCGTCCTTCACCAAGGATGTCAGTCCTTGATAACCACCATGCAAAGAGCCCCACAAAGACTTATCCATCATTCTCCCCTAAGTCTTGTAAAGGCTGCTTTTGTGGGAGAGTTGAACCATCCCCAGATTTCGAAAGCAGCAGTTCAAGGAACTTGATCTTCCCAAGAGGTTGGGGTGAGGTGTCCGCAAGTCTGGTCCTTGGTGTTGATGTAGCTCGCCCTAATGCTCCCTTCCTCCAAATGGGGCCTTTGATGAAGTGGTACCTCACCCGGATGTGCTTGTCTGTTCATGGAAGAAGACGGGTTCTTTGCAGGCTGTGAGCGGACTTGTTGTCCACCCCGAGCTCCACCGCCTAGTGTCCCCGCCGAGGAGATCACCAAGCAGGCCGAGCGAGCCAGCGCTACCGAGTCAAGCGGTGGAGGTCGCTATGTACTCGGCCTCGCACCGGACAGGCCACCACTGGCCGCTTGACCGATCGCCAGCCTAACGAGGCACTTGCCGAGGAAGAAGAGGATCCCGCCGTGTTTTTGCCGGTGTCGATGTCGCCACAGGTGGTCGCCGCTGGCATGCATTCGATTTAAGTGTGCCGCCTGTGGCACCTCGTAGTAGAGGCCGTGGTCGAGAGTCTCCGCAACGAAGCGGATGATCCTCTTCATATTCGCTGGTGCTCCGCCGCTTGGCCGCTATATGAACCGACTAACGAAGCCGACGGAGAATGCCAAGTCCGCCGCAGTGTGGGCGAGGTAGCTAAAGGCTCCCCACAAGACGCCGGCAGATCAATGTGAGAAGGCCCACCTCCGCTGCGGGTTGCTGGCGGCTCGCCTTCAAATTTCCATCGGAGAGAGAGAGCTGGGTTGCGCCGGTGAGCCCAAATTAGCTCAACGACACGCTTGGCATATAGGCGGTCCGTCAAGCGTGATCCCTGAGTCATCCCGATGCACCTCGATTCCTGTGTAGAAGGAGAGAGGCCTCGTGTCACTTATCCGGAAGGTGGCCTTCATCTCTTCCTTGAATGCCGCCACCTCACCTCCGCGATCCTTGGTGCCGGTGATCACCAAGTCGCCGACGAGACACCCACCGCCGCCAGGCATTTCTCCATCGCCTGGCCGGTAAATGGTCGCCTCGCATGGCTTTGCTCGAAGCCCATCCCCTTTTAGTGGAATCTAGCTTGGCATTCCACGCCTGCGTTCTCGCCGCAGCCATAGAGGGCCTTTGCGCAGCGAGCACCTTGCCCTCCTTGCCGGGATCGCAAATCCCGGCGGCCGGTGCACGAGACCTCCTCCTTCAAGTCACCGTTAATGAACGCCGACTTGACGTCCATGTGATGAACACGCCACCCTCCCGGCGCTTAGAAGAGGAGTCGACGGACTCCATCCGTACACGCAGGAGCAAAGGCGTCGTCGAAGTCGACCCCTCTCCCGCCGCACGAAGCCTCGTGCCACCAAGCGAGCCTTGTGCTTGACGATGGCACCGGCTTCATCCCTCTTCACTTGTACAACCACTTAAGGGGTGATCGCGCGGTGACCACGAGGAAGGTCAACAAGCTCCTCAGCGCGGTTCTTCTCAACCGCATCCATCTCCAATCGCATCGCGGCAGCGCGCCATGCCGCGTGTCTCTCGGCCTCGCAAACGACCGAGGCTCGCCGTCGTCACACGCAAGGTGCAACCGCGCCTCCGTGTCGTGGTGGCACCGGTCCCGACATCGGCCGGTCGCCGAGAAGGTTCTCCATCGACGGTACCGCAACGGCTCTCGCCGTGGTACGCGCCGACGCACTCTCTCGTCGTGAGAGAGCGAGTAGCGAGCTCAACCGCCGCCGTGCTCGACACGATCGCCGGAGCGCGTGGCGTTGCTTACCGTGGTGGAGCGGCGAAGAACTCATCGCAGCCGGAGAGTCTGGTGGAGAGCGTGGTCTTTGTTGGAGTAGCAGCGCGCCGGTCGCTGGAGGCTCGGGGATCGGGTAGACGCGCCGGCGAAGAAGAGCCGCCTACTCCCCAGCTCCCTCGGTGGGACGTACTTTCGGCAAGTGAAGTCGCCGTGACGTTGGAGCCGAGCCGCCGTCCACCGCCTTGTCCCACGCCCATCTCGCTTTTTCGTCGAACACAACGCCGCCAGGCGCGCGCACACGCCGTGTCTTGGTCGAGGATGCGGTAGGCCTTCGAGCCCTCCGCGTAGCCGATGAACACTCCCCGAGTGCTCTGCCGCCGCCGAGCTTGCCGATGTGGCCAAGCTCCTTGGCGAACGCGAGGCGTACCAAGACCCCGCAGTGGAGACCGCCGGCTTGCGCTTATGCCAAGCCTCAGACGGCATCCACCGCCGAGCGCCTTTGGTAGGCGAAGCGGTTGAGGATGTAGACGGCCGTCACCACCGCTTTCTCCCGAAGATGCCCGCAGCATCCCCCTCGCTTGAGGAGGGCCCGAGCCATCCCCACAACCGTCGGTTGCGCGCCGCCGACGACGCCGTTCATTGCCGCGGGTCAGACGGGCGGAGTAGTGACGCCGAATGCACTCGTGTTAACAGAGAGACGACGCGAATTCAGCCACCGTGAATTCGCCGCCGTTGTCGGTCGGCGCGCAAAGACGCTGCAGCTTTGCGCGCGCTCGCCTCCTCGCAGCAGACTACATGGCGCGATGGCGTCATGCAGCCTCTCCCTTGCCGCCGAGGACCATCACCCACATGTAGCGGGAGAGGTCGCCGACGAGCAAAGCGCAGGAAGTAGCGTCGTCCTCCCGGTGTGGCGGGTGTCACCGGCCACACAAGTCCTCGCGGCACAAGCTCGAGCCTCTCCTTGGCTCAAAGCTAGCTCATTGTGGAAAGGGGAGTCGCCCGCTTCGTCAACACGCAGACGTCGCAGAGCTACTCCACATGGTCGAGGCACCAGAGGCCTCGCACCATCTCCGTGGTAACCGAGCCGCCTGTGGCCTCAAAGTGAAGGTGCCCAAACGCTGCGCGTGCCATCGCCACGCCTCGTCAGTTCCCGACGAGTAGCGAGACAGAGGGTTGTGCCACCGCACGTTAAGGACGTGAGAGTCGACGGCGCTCGGATACCTTGGCAAGAAGGCGGCGACGACGATCCCAAATCCTCATGACTCCGTCCTCAACCACCACGCGCGAACCGTTCTCATCCAATTTGTCCCAAGTCGATGATGGAGTTCCTCAACGCGGTAATGTAGTAGACTCGGTGAGCGACTGTGCTCACCAAACACGGCAGTGGTGAAGATGATGACGGAGCCGACGCCTTGATCTCCACGCCGGAGGCATCCCCAAACTTGACCGAGCCTCGGGACGCTAGAGTCAAGCTCGGTGAAGAACTCCCCGTCGACCGGTCATGTGATGGGTGGCGCCTGGTGTCGAGGCACCACCCGCCGATCTTGTCGTTGCCGGAGCTGCCGCCGAGGAGGGCGTGTGCTTTTGGCTCGTCAAGGTGGGAGAGAGCTGCGCTGCGGCGGTGCGGTTACCGGAGGTAGCTCGATCTTTGGCATGTGCCATGAACAAAGCGGCTCCGCCCACTTTGGCGACGTGGGCTCGCCGCGTCGTGGTTGTCGACGATCTTTGGCCCAATGGCCAAAGCCGGCGCGATTGCGCAGCAGAGTGTCGTCTCGTCGCGGCTTGTGCTGCTGGCTGGCGCCGCCTGGCGCCTCCATGGCATCACCTCAAGACGTCCTCGCCCCGCCCACTGGCGTCTGCTGCTGCTTGCCACGCTTGCGTCACTGTCGTGGAAGAAGGCTCCCCTTTCTCCGGTCACCTTGGTCGGCAAGCCACCGCTCCCGAAAGAGAAGGAGCTTTCGCCGATGGTGATGGGCCCCGAGAGGGATCGTGGCTCATCGCATTGTCGGCGACCTTGAGGCGACCTATCGCCTCCTCGATCGACATCGTGAGAGATCCAGCAGAGACTCGATCGAGCGAGCCATCTCGCTTGTACTTCTTGGGACGCAGCGGAAGAGCTTTTCGACGACTCTCTCCTCGCCGTAGGTGTCGTCGCCGAATCGCACCATCTTCTCGCAATAGAGTGTTGAGACGGAGCAAAGTCATCAACGTCCTCACGGCTTGAAGGCGTGTTCTCCCACTCCTTGCGGTGCTCAGAAGCGTGGACTTGCGGGCGCGATCCGCTGCCGCGCGTGCCGCAGATGATGGCGCCCCAAGCCTCCTTGGCGATCCGCGCTTGTCGGTAAGCGAGAAGCGCATCGGGCGAGGCAGCGGTGATGAGAGCATCCGGCGCCCGTCGATCCGGGTCGTAGTCGTCGACGTCGCCGCATCGGACCGCCTCCCACATGTGCCGCACCTAGAGCTTTTACCTCATCACCGCAGCCCACTCGACGAAGTTGGTCTTGGTGAGGTAGGCCACCCACCGCCGGGACCGACGCCCCGACAATGACACTGGAGCCCGTGGTAACCACGGCACCGATCCGGGAGAGAGAACCACGCCGCTCGTGAAATCCACGCTCTCCATCGACCCGTCGGTACCGATCCGGGAGAGAGAGCCACGCCGCTCGCGGAAGGCGCGCTCTCCATCGACCCGTCCGCCCCTGCGTTGCGCGCGCGCCTCCTCCAGAGCGCCGCCGCCCGCGCGCTCCTCTCAGAGCGCCACCGCGGCGTCCGCGCCGTTCACGCTGCCGCCGCTGCGCGCGGCGCGGCGTGTTGGCTGCCCAGAGCGCCACCGCTGCGGGCGCCTCCTCCAAGAGCGCGCCCAAGACGTCTCGCGCTGTGCAGGCTGCCGCTGCACGCGCGCGTGGCGCGCGCGCTTGCTCATCGCGCCGCCAGGCCGCGCCGCCTTCCTCTCTAGCAGCCGACGTCGCGTCGGCGGTGTCGTCGGCGAAAATGGAGCTGCCAATCTTGCCAGCAGAGCCTCGACTTCATTGCCGCCAGACGCGCGCGATTCGCCGCCGCCGCTTCCATTCTCCGCCTGGCTGCTGCCGGCTCGCCATTGCCGACCTCGATGCCGATGCCTTGCCGCCGCAAGCTCTCTGCCGCCGCTTCGCTCGCTCTGCGTTCCGCGCCAAGTTCGGCCTCCTGCCGATGCAGGCGTCGAGGAGGCGATCGAAGGCCGAGATCGCCTCTGCGGACATGACGCGCTACCGGGGGACTGCTGCGTGGGGAGAGGGCTGCTTCAGACGAGGCGCGGGGGAGGAGTGAGCAGGAGCGGCCGGAGCTGCTGCTCGCAGCTGGGGCTGTTGTGTGGCTGGGAGGGGAGATGAGCAGGAGATGCTCAGGCTACAGGATAATACGGCTCTAATACCAGTTGTTAGTCGCTGAATTCTCACTCTTGGTAGTAGGAGAATTCTTACTCTCATTGAGAGAAGATGATACTAGAAGTTGGGGCAATTTTCTTGTCTATTTCTCACACAAACTCACACAAATGCCATGCCAACCTGAGAGGTTGGGGATACATATTTATAGGCTGCTAGCCAGCCAAGCATATGCCAAGATGCTAGTCTAAGATGGTAGTCTAAGATGCTAATATGCTGTCCTCTAAGATGCTGTCCTAAGATGCTGTCCTAGAGTCTAAGATGCTAGTCCTAGATGCTGTCCTTCAGTCAAGGATGCTGTCCTTGATAACCACCATGCAGCAGCCCCACAAAGACTTATCCATCAGTTTCAGTTTTGATCTCTCTCTTGCTCTATGACATTTGTGTGCTTAGGCACGCATTTGTGAATGTCGTTTCTTATTTCACTGAACTGTGATATTTGATTACTGATTTTTGATGACATGAATCACTTTTGCAGAGATCCATACCGTCCTCTTTGGGAGCTAACTACTGCTCCAAAGGCTGTCTTAAGTCCTCATTGGCTAAAGGATGGAAGGTAATACTTAGTTCCAATATAGAGTACATCAATTTGTTTCAAAAAATATAGAGTACAAAACAATTTGGTACAAAATTTGCTTTGCTTTTTATTTGTCTTTGCTCTCTATGTGCACTGATTGCATTTAGTTTGTTTTTCCGCTTAGTTAAATGCAGGTCATTGTTGAAAACTAAACTGCAATTGAAATAGATTGCAAAATGGATTTATTTGTTTCATGATGTTGCAATAGATGGGTGTTAGCTTGCTAAAGCATCTTCCGGTCTAGATAACTAGTTTTCTTGACACTTGTCAGTGTATTATAACCTTTTGAGATTGGATTGTTTACATGTTTTTAAACAACCTTTTCACGCCCATGCATGCACCTTATATTATCATCAAACCTGCTCCCTTTGTTGAACAGGAACTTAAAATTCTTCCAAGATTGTTGACCTAACTCACAGATCACAAGATCGCTAACTGTTGTCCATGGAGGCATGGACAAAATATAATGTGATTACATAAAGTTCATTGTTTGTATTTTTTTCCCTTCGTGTGAATTCAGGGTGAATCATCATCTAATGTTTATTCCTATATCGCATGCAAGCATCTGACAGCCTAGTTAGCATGTTTTATTGTTTGATGTAGTAGGGCATCTTTGTATTCAATGCCGTAGGACAGAGAGCATTGCATTTCTTCCTTAGGTATGGGCATTATAATTTGCTTGAAAAAAAAACATACAAGGTACTTAGCCTACTCTTGTTGTTTTATGTTACCCGTTGCGGATTTGAATTGGCCAGCAAGCATTTTTTTTTTATCTGGAGAAACACCTTATTAGACATAGGGAGTCCATATAGGCATATGGCACTTGGTCAGAATTCGGAAGCAACATTAAAGAATGGCATATTAAAAGTTGTTTACCCACATCTTGATCACATTTCTGTTTATATGCACAGGCTACTGATCTTTTCCCTTCCTTTATTACTAGAATCATGATGCTAATGTTATATTTATGACCAATTGTTTTCAGGGGGATTGTTATCTCACTGGAAGATGGTACATTGAAGTTTCTAAGCTTGACTCGGATTGCAAATGATGTTCCAGCCACTGGAAGACAATTTGCCGGAACAAAAACTCAGGGTGTTGTAACTTATCAGTTGTCAGAATATTTGATTTGGAGTGTCCATGCCTCAGAACCTACAGGTGTGTTTCAGTATCTTGTCTCCCATAGCCACTGTCCATATCCTGCCCAATGGTACTGAGTACCGAGTAGCAAAGTTCCTATGTAGCAGCAGTCACTTTGGAGTCTAAAATCCAATGAAGGGAGAGGTTGTCGTGTAAAATAAACAATAACTTAAAATATTGATATCACATGTTTGATCTAAATTTCAAAGATGGACTTGGTGCTAAAAGAAATTTAAGTCGATCCTCCTGCAGAACTCTGCTAGTAGTAATTAGTGATTTCGTTTCCCATGAAATTATTATTTTGCAATTTGATAGTTGATACATAGTTCAATGGATGATAGTCGAGTCAACTGTCTGTAACTTTTTTAGATAATAGGCATAACACCCTGCAACTTGGATCATTACGACAGCAGAGAAAATTTATTACAAAGTCTGAAAAGTGTTGTATGAAACAGAAAAAAAAGAGAGCTGGGATGAGTAGTTTACATGAGAAAAATAATCACACCATGAAAATATCTATCTTAACTGACGTCACTACCAGACATAAAAGTGGATGCAGTTTTTAGATTTGTCTGATCGATCCGTACCAGTTTATTAATATACATTGCCTCCAGTCGCTTTCCAAAACAGTGGCAACTTTTCTTCTTTTTAGTATCAGTCCGAGATCGTTTCCTGATTATGCACTAACTTCTGCTTTGCCTCAAGGTGTCAAATGCTTGTAGTGGTCCTTAAATTCATAATATTTGTTTGCTGATGTCCAGGTTGTGCGGCTTACTGTGGGGCAGATGGTACTGCCGTGTACTTCCAGGTGAACTTTCTAGTTGATATCATGAACAACATTTCTCGTCGTTCTGAGTTGCAGTGCTCTAAACAAATATCAACTTGCTGTAGCTTAATTCGAGATTCTGGGATAAGGAACCTGGGCGCAACCGTGTTCCTTATTTCCTCTCTGGATCATTATCAGAGGGAGAAAATATTAAGATTGGCAGCAGGCTGCAAACGTCCCATTACCAAATGTTCCTGTGGTGACCAAAAAGGGTTCAAAACCATGCCAAAATATAGTTCAGGCGCTCGCTACAAGCGTTGTCACCGGCCTGCTGACATGTCAGCTCAACTCCCCCACAGGAAACAGTGACGTTGTAAATCCAGAAGTTCATGATGATCAAGATGATGGACGTAGCGAAGAGCAAGGAGCAGGCGCTGTAAATCAAGAACTTGAGGGTGATCAAGATGATGGATACAGTGAAGAACAAGCCGAAACACTGTTTCGGCTGATTTGTTGTGAGAGAAAAACACTGTTCCGGCTGAAAAAATAAACTGAAAAAGACGGATTATAAGAGAAGCGAACAGGGGCGATGGACACAGCGAAGAACAAGGAGCCGGTGCAATAATTTCAGCCAGTCCTACAAAGGAGGAGAATGATGGAACATGGAACAGCAAGGGTGGTGAATCCCCTAAAGAACTTAAAGTCATCCCTCCGAATTCTGTCGCTTTGCATCGAGTGCGATGGAACATGAACAAGGGTAGCGAGAGATGGCTGTGCTATGGAGGTGCTGCAGGCATCATACGATGCCAGAGGATCTGAAGAAGAACGCAATCTGGAACGCTCCTCGAGAAACAGAGGCTTGTAACACAGATGGTGGTAGGTTCTACTCTATTCGTTTGTGCTACTTTTGACCGGGCAACCGAGGGTGGTTGGCTTAGCTGTGCATAACTATAGAAGAGAGCCGATGCAATCAGCCTGTTCGCTTCGCTCGTATACGATCCTGGATTATAAGCTACAATAATATTTTCTCTCACACCAAATCAGCCAGCAGTAAATAGACGTTTGCATCTTAGAATTGAAGCCCTCAGGTTCTGAATACATTGGGTATGAAAGTCTGACAGTCTGGGTCTGATAGTTGCGGTAGTACCAGTGCATGCGAACCTGAGGTTTGAAATAAGCCCGTTGGCATCCGGGATGATGTGAACTTGATTTCCCGATGCATTCGGGAGGAAATAATAAATGCCATAGTGCTCGAGAAAAAAAAAAGAATCCTGAATCCTCTAAAAGCAGACTTTTCGACTTCCATTTGCTGCTGAGTAGAACAAAACATAGACTGCACATGTATACTAGTAGTACGGATAAAAAACATTAAAAATTACCAGCGGTATCCCAAAGACCCAAATTCACCGTGGTGCCATCCACAACATTTGCACTGAAACGGCGTGGACGAGCCGCAAGCGGCGGCGGGGGCGCCGCGCGGCCCCGACCGCGCGAGGCGCGAGCAGGGCGGGCGCGGTGGAGGCGAGCAGTGCCTGGCTCTGGCTGCGACGCGACCGAGTTGTGACCTCTATTACTTCTCTTTAACCTGCACCAGTGCACCACTTCTGAGGGCAGGACTAGTCGAGAGAGTACAGACTACACCGACCAATTCGGCAAATCCTGCTCTTAAACCCGTACTCACACTGCACAAATTTATCCCCTCTTCACGCTTACGCCCCACCCGCAGCCACCCCCACCGTATCCTCGGCTCCCCTGCGCCTTAGGGTTTAACCAACAGCAAACGCCGCGCCTCTCGAAGCATGTCACCGCCGCCGTCGCTCAAGCACCTGCCCCCGGCAACCGCCGCCGCGGCCTCTCCGCGCGCGGTCGCCACCCCGAGAGCCACCGGGATTCGCGGCGCCTGTGCACTCCCGACTCGGCGCCTCTGGTGCTCAGCCTCCGCCGCCGTGGCCGGAGCTTCCACCGAGGTGACGACCCACGCCTCCTCCACGTGGAACTTCCCGGAATCCTGCTAGTGAGGTATTGGTTGCTTGTGACTTACGGGTTGTGCCGTGTTGTTCAGATGGCTGATGCTCCGCTGGACTGGGCGGAGAGGTCGCTGGAGGAGTTGCGGAGCTTGCCGGACCACGACACGTTCTGCCTGATGGCGCTCTCGCCGCTGGACGGGCGGTACGATCGCTTCGTCAAGGAGCTCATGCCCTTCTTCAGCGAGTTCGGCCTAATCAGATACCGCGTTCTCATCGAGGTATCTGACATCTGAGACAGTTTGAGCTCCTTGCAAACACTGTATTTGCCTACAGTTTTTTATTGGAGATTGGACGCTTGAGAGCCTGTTTCTGGTGTTACTGTCAATTTTGCTTAGCTGACGTGCCTTTCTTGTTCTTCAGATCAAGTGGCTACTGAAACTTTCTCAAATTCCTGAGATCACTGAGGTGCCTCAGTTCAGCAAGGAAGCCCAGGCCTTCTTGAATGCTATTATCGAGAATTTTTGCATTGATGATGCAAAAGAAGTAAAGAAAATTGAGAAAGTAACCAACCATGATGTGAAAGCTGTCGAGTACTTTCTGAAGCAAAGGTGCAGCTCAAATCCAGAGATTGCGAAGGTTGCAACTAGGATCTTAATGTGTACAGGAGTAATTATTTCTGGTTAGACTTAAGCTGAGTGGCATCTTGAACCTGTTTCCAGGTGTCGGAGTTCTTCCATTTTGGTTGTACCTCTGAAGATATCAACAATTTGTCACATGCATTGGCTCTGAAAGAGGGGGTAAATAGAGTTATGTTCCCTGCCATGATCGACATCTGCAGAGCATTGTGTTCATTGGCAACACAAAATTCAGGCTACCCTATGTTGGCTCGAACTCATGGGCAGGTATGACTTATGAAGCCACCCGAAGCCACCCTCACCACAATATTTTATTACACTGTTATACAGCAAGAACAAGAAGATTTTTGTACCCTTTGTTTGAAGCATAGCTTCTCCATAGACAGCTCTCAAAGGCATTCTATGTGAGATATACGATATAAAATAATTACTTATCGGGGCTTAATGTTTTGTAAGTTTGCCTGGTTGATGCAGCAAGGTCATTTTTAGTGATAGTAAATTGATAAGTTCATAATGAAAAGAATGGAATTGAATGATTGATCAGCTCATTCAGCTATTTCCAAGGCAACATGGGTGGAGGAAATAACAAACCTGCATTATTTATCAACATAGTCTAGGAAATTTAAAAAGATTACTATACTGTTCTGGCAGATAGTCTTGAACCTTTCCATTTGTACAGGAAAAGGGGGAAAAATATCTCTATAAGTAAAAAATTGTTCTTCAGCAGTGTTGCATTGTGGAGTACAGCTCAGTAACTCTTTCGATGCAATAGTGAACACAGTTGTCTTGCTCAATTGCTTGTATGTTAGTGGAATGCACTTGCTTTGCCAAGAAAAACTTGATTTGGAACCCTGTCTTAAACTGTTTTCAATTCCTGCTTGTAGCCAGCATCACCAACAACCGTGGGAAAGGAGATGGCAAACTTTGCGGCCAGATTATCTAATATAGGAAAGAGTTTCTCGGAGGTGAAGATACTAGGGAAATTTGCTGGTGCTGTCGGCAATTACAATGCCGATGTGGTTGCATATCCTGAAGTTGATTGGCCTAAGGTGGCAGAAGAGTTTGTTAGATCCTTGGGTTTGCAGTTTAATCCCTACGTTACTCAGGTGATCTATATTCTTTGTTTTGACATTTAGTTTCTTCTCTGGTCTTCTATGTTCTTGCGCAATTAGGGAGGCTTCTCAAATTCTAGGGTGATCATAACCATCAATGTTGTTGGTTCTGATGCAGTTTTATCCCTTTTACAGATTGAGCCTCATGACTACATATCAAAGCTCTTCAATCTATTCACCCAGTTCAACAATGTGTTGACTGATTTTGATAGAGACATGTGGTCCTATATATCATTAGGCTACTTCAAGCAGGTAAACTAAAGGGTTGACACCACAGTTTGGGAGTATTAAACTTGTACTGCAAGGAAACAAATTGATGGTATTGATTTTTATCTCCCATATTAACTTGCAACATCTTCCAAAATTCTTTTTTCAGATACCAAAGGCTGGTGAAGTTGGTTCTTCCACTATGCCTCATAAAATCAACCCCATTGATTTTGAAAATAGTGATGGCAATTTATGTCAGGCGAATTCTATATTATCTGGTATAAGCATGAAACTGCCAATATCCCGGTTGCAGGTATTGTCGCTAATTCAATTTTATGCCTGAATTTCAGTTTTTCTAACATGAGGTGTCAGGATGAAAATCTGGTGCCTGTATTCATGATACCTATGCGAGATTGGATCATAAATTATACTTACCATCTCATTAGTATATACGTATACTGATGAACCACCATGTTGTATCATTGACAGCGTGACCTGACAGACTCAACTGTTTTGAGAAACTTGGGTATGGGATTAGGTCATTCTCTATTGGCTTACAAAGCTACCATGCGTGGAATCAGCAAGGTTCAGGTAGGTGACCCAGAGCTTGTCCTTTGTCTCGTTACAGATGATATAGTTGTACCTTCAATATAGTTGATGCATGTTTAATTTTTAGCTTATGATTATTAAGTACTTGCAGAATGCTTGATGATCAAGAAGATAGACCTACCTCACCACTTGCTATTTTTCATAAGTTTTGGCCTGACAGGGAAAAAGTACACTATAAATTAGTGGTGACCGCTAGGCGTAGGCGTTTACCCAACTAAAAGTTCACACCACTCAAACCAGCTGAGGATAACTTAGTAGGATAAGGATGTTCCTTTGTGGTGCCCAACTGCACATACTTGCACCCTTGGACCATTGCATGAGAATATCAGACGTTTACTCTTCTTTACTATTGACCTGAGACATGCATTTTAGGTAATTATGATCAGGCTAGAACTTCTATGCTGAATTGGTGCCTATACAGGTGAATGAATCATGTTTAGCTGAAGACTTGGAGCAAACTTGGGAGGTCCTTGCTGAGCCAATACAGACAGTAAGGCATCTGTTTTCTTCTGTCCATTTCCCCTTAAATTCTGTTCTGGTTGCTGTCAGAAAGTGCTTATTGTGTGCGCATCAGGCATGTATCACGTTACTGTTATTACTCTTTGTAGGTGATGCGAAGATATGGAATACCCGAACCTTATGAGAAGCTGAAGGAACTGACGAGAGGCCAAGCTGTCACGAAGGACAGCATGCAACAATTCATTGATGGTCTAGACATACCGGAGGAGGTTCGATCAAAGCTTTCGCAGCTAACCCCGCATTCGTATACTGGGCTAGCGGAGGATTTGGCCAGAGACATCGAGAAGTGGGTGGTTCTTGAATCTGGATTTCAAATCAAGTGAGTTTCCATTTAAAAATGGATCTCTCCACATTTTTTTCTTTTTGACAACGATGGAGAAAAAAATAACAGACGGGAACCCTAGAAAACGGAAGTTCAATGCTGCGTGGCCTTGAATTGTTGACCAAGATAATTGACGTGGTTCTCATTTATGATATTTTTGGCACATGTAAAATGCGCCTCAAGGATAGCTGTATTTTGACGGAAAATTATCGAGCTAAAAAAGTTGCTTGCTCGATTTCTTGTAAGTGCGGCAAGCTAAAAATGCTTATCAGCCTGTTCGTTTCGTCGTAAACGATCGTGGATTATTTACTGCTGGCTGGTTTGGTGCGAGAGAAAAATACTGTTCCAGCTTATAATCCATGATCGTATATGATCGTATAAGCCCAGCCTATTTTTATTTAGTTGCCGGCTTGCTGCATACATACAATAATAAAACAAACAGTTTCTCTTTCGAAGTGAAGAAAGCATACTTTCTGTTAAGTTGCTTTGTTGAGGTCTTGTGGGATGTAAATCTGCCGTGCCGCTTCGAAGCTACAGCAATTCCGCAGAGGCTGCAATGATATTTTCGATTTTCGGAACAAAAGTAGACTTTGGTTATCGGAAACACTGAAATTATGCAAATGCAGACTTTGGTTGTCGTTAGATACTCACATTGGTTCACGCATTGATTCGTATACAAAGCAATAATAGGCTTTGGTTATCGTTAGCTATACTTTTTTTTTTGAGGAATTCGTTAGCTATACTCACATTGGTTCCATACGCATTGATTCGTATGGAAAGCAAATGATGCTCGATAGTGACGGAAAAGGAGGTCTACGAACTTCCACCCGTTCGGAATTGACACCAGCGGTTGTTTGTGCCCCTGAAACGGTGTTTCATCCTTATCCGGGCCCGTCCAGCACCCAGTATACGGCACGGAAGACGGCGGGGGTGAATCCTTCCGTGCTCTTTGCTTGCCGGCGACAAACACAGCGAATGTTGGCCGGGCTCTGGACTTTGGGAGCCCGGTACTCTGGGGCGTGTTTGGTACGCTGACCGAACGGCCCGGCTGCGCCCCCGAGCTGCAGTGTGCGTGTTTGATGCCGTTGGGCCATTTTCCAGCCCGGCTTGCACGCTGCTCAAAGCACCCAGCAGCCTGGCTCCTAGGAAAGGAAAAAGTCCACTTTACCTCCCTCATCTTTTGTGATAGTCAGCTTTGCCTCTTGATCCCAAAAACCAGAGAAACGACCTCCCTCATCTATCCAAACCATGCACATGACCCCCATTCCTGGTTTCAGCTGCGATTTTGGCTTTGTTGGCGCCACGGTGGATACGGGCCAAGCTGACTCAGCCCCAGGCTAAATAGAAAGGAAGAGGTCCCGTGAGCCAAAAAAATTCCCCTCAAATTATAACCTTAGTTCGCACACAGGCGGCAGCATAGCGTACGGCCTTGTTCGTCCACGCCGGAGACGACGCCCACGCCGGCAAACGGAGAAGGGGAGCAGCGGCGGGGCGGTGGGATCTGGGCGCTGGTCAGGCGCTGGGCGCAGGGCGCAGCACGCAGGCAGGAGCATCCCGGGCGGGCCCCTACTCACGCACCCTAGCCACCCCGCCGCTGACGCTAGTTCTTCCTTGCCCCCGGCACCTGCTCGCCGCCGTCTCCCATGGACCCTAGCACGTCGCGTGTTCTCCTGTCGTAGCCAGTTTTCGCGGGAGAGCCACCGCTAGGAGAGAGTGGGCTGCCGCTGATCTGGTGTCCTTACTGCGGCATGGGGAGGATTTTAGAGCTGTTGTCAAAATCAGACAAGCACCCAATGGAAAGGTTCTTTAAATGTCCGAGGAAGTACAAGAAGGTTTGGTTTTCTTATTGAAATTGCCGATGGTAATTGAAATTTAGGGTTTATGATTTATTCTGTTGGTTTGGCATTGCAGTTTCCTCTTTGTGATTTCTACATGTTCGAAGAAGAATATGCCAACTTTCTTGTTAATTATGGGATGCTTCCAGAATCTGAGATGTGTCATTACCATCCATTGGAGATGATAGTGTGCAAGCTGAGATGTATGAACAGGTGATGAAGAAAGAAGCTGCTGGTGTGTATGAGCACAGGAGGACTATAGCTTCGGCCAAGAAGGGAGGCAAGAAGAAGCAAGGACATTTGAATTGGATGATGTGTGTTGGTGTTGCTGTCCTAGTGTTGTTAGGTTTCAATTCTGCCATTCTCCTTGTGTTGGTTGTGATGCAAATGTATAAGTAGTCAATGTTTGCCGGCATCGGCAGGATGTTACCCTTTGTAATGGCATGAATCAAATTCCCTTCTTTTTTACCAACAAGCTGTCTCGTGCTAGAAAAGAAACAAAGCAATACATGCTGAATCTTATATTTGCACTATGCAGGAACCAGTGCATACACCATAACAATGTCAGATAACATAGACAAATAATTGCACTATGCAGGAACCATACAGATAACATAGGCATGTACTCATAGATAACACAACACTGACGAATGGATAAAAGTGCAAATAATTGTCATACATGGCATAAGTAGCAAATAGATAAAAGCCAGATGTTTGGCATAACACATAGTTTGGCATACATAAAAGGTAATCAACCACAGAACTTAAGTTTCCTGCCTACATAATTATTCAAGTTTGGCATACAGCCAGCAGGCTGTACACATCACAGCCTATCAGATTGCCATGGAGGAAGCATTTGGAGTGGAGCAATTCCAGATTGCTTTGGAGCAGGCTTGGGCTTCTTCTTGGTCGGTTCTTGAGCTGACACGGTCACAGATGCAGTCCCGCCAGTTAACTATACATGCACACTAGAATTAACATTGGAAGTGGGCACTCTAGCTTGCAGGTTTATTGTAGCTGACCCAGAAGGAATTGTTGAAACCCTTGCACGTGCACTTGATTTGATGATGTTCTGTGAGTTTGTTGTCTTTGCTTACATAAGTCAGATGAAGCAAGATGTACATGATGTTCGAAGAATGAATTTGAAATACAAGATGCATAAGTTAAAACTTTGAGATATAGGTAAACTTACCTTTTTGTTGCTCTGTGCAGTAGATACATCAGCTGTGGAACTCCTTTTTGTACCGCTTGTGCTGCTCTTTTGTGTGTTGGACAGCACAACAATAGCATTTTGGTTACTTCCTGCAGCTGAATGAGATCCTCCTGCCTGTGAACTTCCTGCTCCACTTATATTGGTACATGTTGTCCTGTTGTGCCCAGGCAAGTGGCATTTGCTGCATTTGATAACAGTTCTAGTTTTTGGCATTTTAGTGGCCTTTCTAACTTCTGTGGGCTCCCTTCTCCTCTCAGTCTTTGGCCTGCCTGGCATCTTCACATAACCAGGAGCTCTAAGGGGTACCCTATCAGATGAGGGCCAGCTATTCATACCCTCAACTGGATTCAAGCCATGGCTGTATGTTTGTTTGAAATGGTACACAAAGTAGCAGTCGACCACATATTCATCTAGGCAGTTGGTCTTGAACAAAATACAAGAAATGGCATGGCAACATGGAAGTCCAGACAATTGCCAATACCTACATGAACATGTCTTTGATACCAAATCCACTGTGAACCTATTGTCATAATGCTTAACTTCATATTTCTCTTCCCCATTGCAGATGGCATGGCAGTGTGCAGACAAAGATATATAGACATTTAATTTTTTATTGATGTTTGGGCATATAACACTTGTCCACTTCCCTAATTTAGTTCTCTATTCTTGGATCCTCACCATTACTTTCCTTCTAATTGTTTCTAGCATGGTGATTATTGGGAAGAACCTAGCTTCAATGATCCATTTGTTGAATGACTCACAAATATTATTATCTACTGAGTCACAGTTAGAGCCCAACCTGAACCAAGCTCTGCTCCAATGCTGTGGATGAGTGTTCAGAATAGCTTGTGCCCCTTCTCTGGTTTTTTGTGCTAGCCTCGCTCTTGCCAAGTTGAAAAGCATAAGGCAAGGTGCTTTAGCACACATCCAAAACCTTTTCTGGTAGTCCTTCTTGGGAAACTCCTTCTTCCAGTTGGCATAAATGTGCCTAGCACAGTTCCTATGTTCAACTTCTGGTGCCCATTTGCTAACTGCATTAAGAATTCCCTACACAAGTTGGAAAAATTATAAAGCATCTACCATCACATGTTTAGAATTGTGAAAACAACAAAAAATATTAACAGGAGGTTACCTTTTGTTGGTCTGAGATGAAAACCCATTCCTTTCCTCCATGCACACCAACATCCCTAAAGAGCAGATCACAGAACCAATCCCAATTTTCATTGTTCTCCTTGTCCACAATAGCCCAAGCAATAGGATACATCTGGTTATTAGCATCCCTCCCAACAGCACAAAGAAGTTCACCATTAGTTGCTCCTTTGAAGAAACAACCATCTAACACAACAACCTTCCTGCAGCCAGCTTTTAACCCTTCTTTACAAGCATGCAGACATATGTACATTCTTCTAAAAATAGGAGGCTCTACATTATCTTCCTTGTTAACAATAACAGTGCTTCCTGGGTTGCTTCTAAGAAGCTCCATCTGGTAGTCATACAGCCTAGAGTACTGCCCTTTAGTTGCATCCAATGCTTTCTTCATAACTAGTGCTTTTGCTCTCTTTAGCATGGACTTAGAAACTTTGGCAAACATTTCTTCTTGAACTGTCTGCAACATATGCCCAAGTTTCCAGCATGGGTTGGCAAAAATGAACTTCTCATATTTTTTAGCAATTACAGTTGAGGTGACTAGTTTGTTGTCTCTTCTTGGTGGACACATGTGATTATTTACAAATGTAGATATCTGCCAACTATCAGACCTAGAAGTATTTGACAACAAACATACCCATGGACAACCTTTCCAGTCACATTTGGCCCTCACCCTCTTTGGATCATCCTTAGCAAAGGCAATAACCTTTCTCTCATACAGGCCATGTTTAATTACAACCTTCTTGAATTGCTTCTTAGAACCTTTCTCTCATCCAGGCCATGTTAAATCTTGGATGCATGCTACCT